CAAAATTGGTATTTTTTTTACCAGAGTTGGGTGCTCCCTGCCTAACTTTCACCCTACTCCACAAAGGGGATATATACTTATACACCTAAGAAGAAAGCAAGCAGAACATCCAGTCTAACAGATTTGAGTAACCTGGCTAAAAATAAAGATCTAAACATGAACCTAATTAAAAAACAAACACAAAAAAAAAATCAAAATGCTGAAAGCAACTTGAAATAGGAGAAATAAGTGGTTAAAGGCATAGAGAGAGACATCTCTAGACAATTCCATTTCAGTATTCATTCATTCATTCATATGTGTTTTCATCCCTCCTGGACATAATAGAAATATATAAAGTCAGAAACTGGTGTTTGTTTTATTGGTTTTGTTTTCTGAAGCTAACAGTATAGTGGAGTTAAGTACATAGAACAGCATAGGCATTATTGTATTGATACTGACCAAACTTCATTAAAGATGCTGTGTGATGGGAACCAGGACATTTCCTATACTGGATATTTTAAATTAAAAACACATTTTCTGGTCATTCGCCTAATAAGGAGTGGTATTTGACTGTTTCCAGACAAGATGATGCATTTAGAAAGTTGAAATTCAGTACAAAAATGTTATTGGAACAATGCATTCCAACAATGTGATGTGTTTTATAATTTACTTTGTTTAAGAGGGCTCTTTGGCTTTTGCTTTTTGTTTTGTTTCTGTTCATTTGTTTTATGAATGTTGGGAAAATACTTAGAGCACTCCAGACACACAGGAATTGATCCAAACTTATCTGCTTAGGTTTTCATTAATGTTTTTATAATAGAGTCTCATAAAATTATTTAATTTACTGTGTATTTTCTGGATTTCACATTTTGAGAACTTACCAGCAGGTAAGGTAGTATTATTGCTTCACTAAATTATATTGACACCAAGCACCACCGTAACTTAATAGTCATTTGTTTCTTGGTATGTTGACCACAAAAAGTTGAGATAAGTAACAAAGAAAATCATTAGAAATTCAAAATCCCTTCTAAAACTCATTTATCATTCACAACCCGTTCGAAAATGTGATACAATGGAGTTGAGAAATGATACCAGAATAAATAACTTCATTTTTCGGTTAGAACCATCTTCATCGGGTCCGACTAAATCCCAGTACTTGAGCCTGGCCTTATTTCTCCTTTTGTGTGTTGTGTACGTAACTACTTTGCTGGGGAACCTCCTCAACATGACCACCCCGCCTTCTGAGTCTCATTTTCAGACTCTCATAAACTTTCTGCTTAGAAACCTAATGACCAGAAACATTTGTCTCCTATAATGTTATTTATTTACTTATTAGTTCGTAATTTGTTTTATTGAGGGAAGTCTTGTATAGCCCAGGCTGGTCTCCACAAACTCCCCCATGGAGCTATGTAGTTCAGGATAACTCTGAAATCCACATCCTCCTGCCTTTACCTCCTCAGTGCTACAATTATAAGTGTTTGCCACCTATCCCATGTCATGCCTTCCTTGCAAATCATCCAGGGATTCGTGCATGGGAAGCAAACATTCTGCCCTCTAAACTATATTCCCAACCTTCATATTATTTTATATATACTGTACTTTGCAAGGATCGTATAGTCTTATTTTCTCTGAAAATCAAATCAAATGTTGAGGAACCTGATCCTCACTTGCTCTTCTTGCATTAAAAATATTACAGGGTAGTGGCCATATATAACATTCATGAGACCCTGAATTGACATAGCTCAAGGATAGACCACTTGTCTAGCATGATTGAGGTCCTTGGTTCAGTACATAGTATTGTAAACAAAAACAAACACAAAGCGTAATACAAGCAGTAGGGTATTGTTCCTGCCAGCATGTATGGATTTACCACTTGTCAAGTTATTTAACCAATTTTAACAGTGTTTGTATGTTTGCATTCTTGCTTGGGCACATGGTTTAGTCTCTTGTTTTAGAAATGTCATGCTTTGTAAAGCACACAACATTGTGAAATTTGACAGATAGTTTCCAAATGGCTCCAAGTGTATTGATTCAGTTTTCTAACAAACATCAGTCCCACTTGTTATATACTTATTCAAAACAATTACTTTCAACTTATGACTCTTACTAATTGATAAAGATGGGTTTCAATATTTTAGTTGACTTTTTTTCAGTTGGGGTGAACTGAGTATTGATTTGAATATTTTGAAGTAATTTGTACTTTTATCTTAGTGTGTGTCTCAGACAGACATAAAACATTCCCATACTTAAAGTATATTCTTAATACCTTCTTTGATTTCCACATAAATCAGAATTATTCTGTTATAGATACTGTTAGTGATAGAAAGAATGAAGTAAGTGTGAAATCTGCTTTCATGTGTTTGTATCCAAATGGGTACCCAGAGCAAAGAGATATTTTAATATACACATATTAAATAAATAATCTTGAAAGTTTCAGTGCTGGGAAAAAAGTTAATCAGTGTGAAGGCCAGAGAGAGCAGCTGGTGCAGAAGTCGGTACATCTTTGCATTTGATTTATTTGCCAAAGAAGGACTATCAGAGGAGTTAATATTGAAACCAAGGACTTGAAGGAAATAGTCTTAGGATGCTGGCATAGCTCAGCATAACATGTGCAGGAACCTGAGCTAAGTCCTTGGCAGGACAAAAACTAATAATCTGGAAAATGTCTGCATAAAACCTTGAGTATGAGAAAAATAGTAAAATTTATTTTCTAAAGCAAAAGCAATTATTTCTTTATAAGTGATTATAAAGTTTATCAGAATCCCTGAAAAGGAAGAAGTAGAGGAGAGAGGTTGCATCTGAAGTGGTAGGAGACACAAGAGGCAAACAAAGCCTTTAGGAAATGAGCAGTTAAGGCATAATGGGTGCTAAAGCTTAGTACTGATTATAAGAATGATGTGAAGATTTTATCAATGTTTCCTTGATTGCATTAACTTATGCATAAAATCATTATGCCATTAATCTGGACATTTTATGAAAGTATCTGTACAACTTCAACATATGTATTGCCTTAATTAGAGTTATTATTGATGCAGTGAAACACCATGGCCAAGACAACTTGGGGAGGAAAGGGTTTATTTGGTTTATACTACCATATTACTGTTCATAATCAAAAGAAGTCAGGACAGGAACTCAAACAGGGCAGAAACATGGAGGCAGGAGCTGATACAGAGGCCATGGAGGGGAGCTGCTTACTGTCTTGCTCCTCATGGCTTGCTCAGTCTGCTTTCTTATAGAACCCAGGACCACAAGCCCAGAAATGGCACCACCCACCATGGGCTGGGCCCTTCCCCATCAATCGTTAATTAAGAAAATGCTCTACAGGCTTGCTTACAGCCTGATCTTATGGAGGCATTTTCTTAATTGAGGTTCCCTCCTCTAAGATGACTTCAGCTTGAGTCAAATTCACACACACACACACACACACACACACACACACACACACACACACACATATAACATTTTTATCTCTATTACAAAGTATTTATTTTCATATTACAAAAATATAATTTCAGGGGCTTGTAATTTCAGTCTTCAAGTTGGCTGTAAGGACTTATGAGTTCATTTTAAACCTTAAGTCATAAGGTTTGCTTTGACAATCTCTTTGAGTCTCTATATTTTTGGGCATTTTCTTAAGTTTACCTAACTCAGAATGAGTGGTAGTGTTTGTAATGTTACTAAGGCTCTACTGCACCCTTTATAATTAGATCCTGTGGGGAAGATTATAGTTTATTGTACATAAAACTTTTTATTACACATATCTATGCATTTGCATGATACACTCTTAGTAGGTTTTTTTTGTAAAACACAGAACCTTGAATGAGACTTCATAATATTTTTCTGTTGCTTCTTTTATGTTAACTCTGTTTTATTTAAAGAAGAGGTCACAAGTTCTGAAAAATTTACTTAGAATTAGTTTTTAAATGACTTCTATATGCTTGGAATAGACTCTGTGGGAGCCATGTGACTTCTTTAGGGGACAAGACTTGAGAATAACATGAATGGCTTTCCTTCTGGCCAGGCCTTGGAGACCCTGACCCTCTGTGGACAGTTTGCTGCAAAATTCTGGGCATGACCCCAAGAACATATGTGCTACCTGATCTCTTTGCTTTCACTATGGAAGCCACATCGTTGGCTATCTTTAGTCTCACTTTCCCAGTCACAGATAAAATAGAAATCATCAAAGGAAAACATCCTCCTGATGACTCTCCTCTGAGTGAGCCAGAGGGAATGTTGTTAAAAATCTACAGTGGACCTGATTCAGCCTCTAAAGTCTTTGATGTCTCCAGTGTGATCATGAACTCAGGCTTTTTAAGAATATGATGTTGCCTTTCCAACACACCCTGTAACTACCCTGAAAGTGACAGTAGCTCATAAAGTTTAATATTACATATTTGTGTGACTGTTCTGGGAAGAATGATTTCAACCAAAAGAGCCTTGGAGAAATGCTAGAAAAACGATGATATCAGGAATCAGTCTAGAGACAAGGAATGAAGCAGGAACCTAGAACTCCACAGTTCTCTCATTTCTCGTAACTGTTCTAATACCCCAAAAACTTAAGAGGGAAGGAAATAGGAGTAAGAGATAAACAGTACCAACTATTGAGAGTAACTTTCCAAGTTATGTTATCTACAGTATAAATGGAAAATGGAAAAGAACCTGGAATATCCCCCGAGGAGATGGAGCAGTACTAAAAGTAGAATGAATTGATCCAAATTCGGCTGGTGAGTTGATTGTGAGAACCCAGACCCTACCAGATGTAAATATTAACCACGAGAGACAAAACTGTCTCTCACACTGCATGTCTCTGTCACCACAAATGATGCCAACTGGGCACCTTTGCTCTACCTGTAGGTGTGCCTAGATAGAAAACTTCCTTTGTTACTTGCAACACTGCTTATGCTTGTAACATTAGAGCTTTGGATCAAATAGGTAATGGGTACTGGTGGGAAAGCTGAGGGAGAGAAGGGGAAAAAGGGAAGGGAAGGGAAGAAACTGGTGATTATTTTAACCATTTTTAGAAAGTTAAGGAAATGGATGTGATTATAAAACTGTTCATGCGCAGGGGCCATGCTAATCTTCTCTGTATCATTCCAATTTTAGTATATGTGCTGCCGAAAGATACCCCCACAAAAGACTGCTGGCAATGGCCGAGAGACAGCCGGGACTGACCTACTCTGGTGATGGGATGGCCAAACACCCTAATAGTTGTGCCAGAAACCCCATCCAAGGTGTGAGGAATCTGGATGCAGACATCCACGGCTAGGCCCCGGGTGGAGCGCTGGGAGTCTAATTAGCGAGAAAGAGGAGGGTTTATATGAGCGAGAATTGTTGAAGCCAAGGTTGGATAAAGCACAGGGACAAATAGCCAAACGAATGGAAACACATGAACTATGAACCAAAGGCTGAGGGGCCCCCAACTGGATCAGGCCCTCTGAATAGGTGAGACAGTTGATTGGCTTGATCTGTTTGGGAGGCATCTAGGCAGTGATAGCAGGTCCTGGGCTCGCTGCATGAGATAGCTGTTTGAAACCTGGGAATTATACAGGGACAGTTGGCTCAGTCTGGGAGGAGGGCACTGGACCTGCCTGGACTGCGTCTATCAGGTCGATATCAGTCTTCGGGGGTGGCCTTGGTCTGGAGGTGGTGGGAAAAGGGGGTGGGCTGGGGGGAAGGGGAGGGGGGCAGGAAGGGGGAGAACAAGGAAATCTGTGGCTGTTATGTAGAACTGAATAGTATTGTAAAATAAAATAAATTTAAAAAAAAAAACTGTTCATGCAAACCTCTGAAGTTGTATGAATAAAAACAGCCCGGCTATCCCGGGCCACTTGTTTCAATAACAGGTAGTTACAGTTTCTCCCTAGCTCCGACTTCACACATCTGTCCCAGGTCATCGAACCCATCTGGAGCAAGGCACTCAGCAAGACTCTGTATAACATTTGTACATGAATGCAATTTGCATACAGTAAGCTTAGTTGTATCTAAGTTTATTAAACGTGTTTCTCTCCCTGCCTCTAGTAATGTGGCAATTTGCTGTTGTTTACTTTTGCTGTGTTTAAAGTTAAAGAAAAAATTGCTTCATATGTCTGTGGAGAATTTTAGCATACTTTATAGTTACCCCATTTTCATAGCATAAATGTCAACTGTACTGTCCCAAATTAGATGCAATACCTTTGAGAAAACCATTATAAATGTCATATTTTACATTTTGTAACAATAAGAAGGTATTGCCGGCCATCAGATATCTGGGAAATAGTAAGTAGTTTTTGAGTTTGACTTAAATATCATCAAGTAATCTACTTATTTTTCTGGATTCCTTAGCTAGTTTAACTTTAAAAATAATCAGAAATGCAGATTTAGATATTTGTGCCCCAAAACATGGAAAGATATTCAAGATATCAAAGAAACACCAATAAATATGATCCAAATAAAACTGGAAGAATTAGACAGAATGAGTATTTCATTTTATGTTGATATATAAGAAATCAGATGACACAGGGAGATGGAAACTTTGAGAAAAGGAAATAATTCCCAATTTCAGCTGTAATCATATACTGTTGTATAACATGGGAAAGATCTTTATACATCATTAATCTTACTCAACTGTATCACAATAGAATTTGAGATAGATCATCTTGTAATACCTAATTTTTGTCTTTATCTGAAGGGCATCTAGGAAAATCAGAATTAATATAACAAAGCCATAGCAAATACATTTTATGTTCTTTTAGGCTATTCTTTCACTCAACAACAAAATGAATGGTTTCCACTTTTCTTTTTCTTTTTTTTTTCTGGCACAAAAGTCATCTCCCTGGATTTTAGAACCTCTCACCATCCATTTGCTATCTCTAGACTTGTTAATCCCTCTCTGTGACAGCAGGATTAATATAGACTTTCCTGACACCCAGGAAGGACCCCTTGCAAATTACAAATATGCAGAGGATATAAAATACTGGGGGAAAATGGGTATCACCTTCACTACAGCAGGCATTGATGGACAACAGGCACTGATGAGCAACCTGTGATCCTGAACGAGTGCTGTTGGCTTCTCAGACCCAGTGAACTGTGTGCGCACACCCTTACCTGAATCGTAATGCTGTGAAGGTTTATAGGTGAGGTGACAATGTCAGGTTTTTTTTTTGGTTGTTTGGTTTTGTTTTTAGTTTTCAGTCTTTATATAAATTTATATAAATGTGTTTGTCCATTGAGCACAGGATGAAAGGAATAGAAAAAAAGAGAGGCAGTGATCTTATTTTACATTTAAAATCTGCATTTCTATCCAGAAGTCATAGTTTAATCAGTGACTCTGTACAAAAGTAAAACACAAGTAGATAAAATTTCCCTTCAGTTGTTCTCAATGGAGAGAGTGACTGTATAACCAAGACTCTCTTTCTGGCCTCTGCTTTCTGCTGTTCTCTGTATCTCCATTTGTAGTTTAGCAGCTTATCTCCAATTAGTACTATATTTCCAACATGAACACATTGCACTTAAATATTTCTCCAGCATTGCATTTTTATATCTATAGGTGTGGACTTTGCAATAACAAAGTGTAATACAGACTATTCTCATGTATGTTTATGTGGATATACAGCACAAAAATCATGGTGAATAACTTCAGTTTTGTAAAAGCATATGATATTTAGTTAAGAAAAATTTCAGAATCTCACCTAAATTCAAATAATTTTGACATATAAGGTAAAATATTTGCTCTTAATGTATATGATTTAGCTCTACTTGTCCTTTTTAAGTAAACTGAGCAAACTCTAAAGGACAATCTGTGTGATCCGTGTCATTTAGGTGTCCTGGATTACAGCAACAGGAGTCCTTGAAGAGCCATGGGTCAGAACTGCGATGTCGCTACCTGGGATATGCAAAAGGATTTTGGTCATAGAAGCAGATGGTTAAGTAAGATAACAGGATGGATAGGGAGTCTTATCTCTGGTCAGGGAGAGATGAAACATCTAAAGGAGTCACTTCTTTCATAAGGAAACCTAGACATTCTGTACCCTTTTTATCACTGCTCCCTCAGGGCATCTCTCTGTCTTTGTACCTTGACCATCTTAATTCTGCTCAGTCTGTTCTAGCTTGCCGAGTGCAGTAAGGTTATTTGATAATTTATTTGTCCCTTCAATTAGTCATTTGTCAATTAGTCTAGAATTTTAAACATGCTCAACTAGAGAAAAATCTCACTGTTCTTGCCTGGGATTCTTAACTGTAAACTGACACCCCAGGCCTGAGATTTGGTTTTATTTCCTAAGGAAACCCATAACTGACACTACTTGGGTGAACACACACAAACAAAAACAACAACAAAATGGGAGAAAGCAATAATAATTGGTCATTGATATCTCTGAACATCAATGATATCAATACCCCCATAAAAAGACATAGACCAACAGAATGGGTGTGAAAACAAGTTTCAGCTTCCCTAACAGGCAACAGCAAATACCACAAGAGCATGTATAAGATCCATTATTGCTCTAACTGAATGCTCCTTCTTTGGCATTGCTAATGTAAGCTATACTTCAAGGGAGTTTTGTGTACCTTAGCTTTATAGCTCCTTTACAAAAGATAATATTTTGTTTAAAAATCTGAGTCCACATTGTACCTTAAATACTATGTCAGATGAATCCTAGCACACATGAGCTAGTTAAAATCACAGACTAAGGAAGCAAATGCCCACGTTTGCTGATGGTAATACATGGAGAAGTTACTTAGACTGTAAATATATGTTTCCCAGATATAACAACATCACCTTTCTCATAAGATGGTTATGAAGATTGAGGCTGCTCCATTGGGTGCTTAGAGCTAAGTCTGGTATTCAATAAGCCATTAATGTATGATCTCAGTATTTCTCTGTTGTGATATTGGGTATTTGAGATGGTTAGTTGGCTTTAAGCTTTTATGGAAGTAGCCTGGAGCCACCAAATCATTTGTTTATCACCATCATCATTAGTAATACTACTACTACTACTATTATTACTACTACTGTTATATTTGTGCAACCTGGGACCACATAAGTAAGTTCATATGATTTTAATTTTTGTCATTCAAAATTCACAAAGTAGGAGATTATTTAATTGTAAGTTCTCAGTTCTCTATTAATTGTGAATATAATTAATAGCTATATAAAAGAGGGTTAAGGAAACCCGTTGTCATTCTATTTAATGAAGACATCACACCACAACAGCATCTGTAAAGCAGGATGTACTCCCCAGACACTACATCTGTCACTACTTTAATCCTGGGCAACCTAGCTCCCATGGTTCATTGTTACAAATTGGTCTGTGTAGTCACATTTTGTTATAAAAAACAAAAAAACAAAAAAAAAAAAAAAACAATTTCACTACAACACCACACAAACAAGTGTACTTTAGTTATTTAGCATAGTTTAAAGTTATATCTATGAAAAATTCAGGTTTATTATGTCACTGTCAAGTAACCTATCTGAAAACAAAATATTAGTTCACAGTGAGAAAGCTAATCTATGACACTTCCATAACTGGATAGTCTATTTTTCTATAACAGCTCCATCATTTCAATGTTACTCTTTTAAAAATAACAAATATCCAGTTGGTTTTTAAGACATTGTTGAGGGAATAAAATAATACTCAAAATTATAATTTAGATTTAGATAACCTTGGGGTCCATGCCAGACAGCTCTTATGAATGTAAAAAAAAACATTACCTATGTTGCTACATGAAAACAGAACACTTCCCTTTGATTGATGAATCTGATCTAACATAACTTAAATTAATGAACTAAAAATAAGAATTTTCCTATTGATGGATGTAAAATACTAATATTTTTTCTCCTAAAAATTCAAGTGACCGTTCAATAATTGATCACAGTATTGATCCATGTTTCCTAAGGCTCTCAATTATGAAACTGATGATAGATTATGAGAGTTCTTATAGTTTTACAGATCACAAGTACATTGTCTAGTATCTAAAAACATCAGAATGATGACAGACTAGTTTTGCTATGAGGCCACATTAATATATGTGTATGTAATAAAGTAAAAGGGACTGTTGAGCATTGTGGAAAATCACTGACATTTTCATGCTTATTTTTCTTTAAAAATATTGCATTTATTTTGTTTTCAATGACAGTGTTGACTTGGA